CAATCTAGCAGTTCAAAATCATGTAAAAATGCAAGTAGATAAATAGGTACCAACACAGTGGGAAGGTAATGGTGTTCCGTGTCTAGTCACACTGGCCACGTGACCATGAAAACTGTAGGGACAAAGGCTGGCTCTACGGCTTGGAAACACGGCTGCGCACCACCCCCTAGAGTTGGACACAACTGGACTAAATGTCAAGGGAAACCTTTACCTAAGTACGTTTTGATACCCAGTGTGGTGTTATGGACAGAATGACAGACTAGGACTCAGGAGGCCTGGGTTCAAATCCGCACTCAGGCATGAAAACTCACTGGGAGTGTGGAACTGATAAAGGCACTCCTTAAATATCTCAGCTACTTTGCAAGCCCTATTAAGGTCGCTATAAGTCACTTCCAACTTGATGCCACATAACAACAAAGTATATCTATTATTGTAGCTTTGTAGCTCACTCCCTAAAATTTGATTTTTAAAAAAATTCTCATTGAAACTCTTTATAAAAACAATTCATAAACAGAAGTAAACATTCAACACCGTTTCCTTCAGAAGTTACTGTATCACTATGACAGACCTGCACTGAAAAGCAGAAGACTCTTGTATCAAATGAAACTAAGTCTTTCTCTTACCACAGGGCTTTTTCCAAATATAACTTGCTAACTTCTTTCTTCTCTCTTCTTTTCATTGTCTCCCACTTAAGTTCCCACCTCACTCTCTCCCAGGATCCAGAATGGTTTGGAAGAAACCGAGCTCCTCCTAGTCACATTCAGTTCTGCCCCAGCTGCCCCTCCCTGCTCCCACGATGACACCACAATTCACAATCTAAACCAACACTCTGGAAGTTCACTATCTTTGTCTTCTTGGTTTTAGTTTTGCTTCCACCTAACTAGATGTGGCCGAAGGGTGGAGGAAAGACTGAGTGCTTAAGAGCCACTTGCACAAGGGAGGAAATCATGTGGGGTCCATATAAACTGGCATGGAGTTAGTTTAGACATGTGAAGGCATAGGGGGAAATGGATGTTTACAAAATCTCATTTTCCTCGGTATTTTCCCTAAGGACAAATGTTCAGATTTTCTATTGGAAAAAAACTGGAAACTCAGGGGGACCTCAGTACACACATTGACTGAAATACATTTTCAAATGCTTTTGGAAGACAAGATTTCACTCACTCAAAATGTTTTTTTAATTGTTATTATGGTAACAGCAGCCACGAAATTAAAAGACGTCTGCTTCTTGGGAGGAAAGTGATGACAAACCTTGATAGCATCTTAAAAAGCAGAGACATCACCTTGCCAACAAAAGTCCGAATAGTCAAAACTATGTTTTTTTCCTTTGGCGATGTACGGAAGTGAGAGCTGGACCATAAAGAAAGCTGACCGCCGAAGAATTGATGCTTTTGAATTGTGGTGCTGGAGGAGGATCTTGAGAGTCCCCTGGACTGTAAGGAGAACAAAACTATCCATTCTGAAGGAAATTAACCCTGAGTGCTCACTGGAAGGACAGATCCTGAAGCTGAGGCTCCAAGACTTTGGCCATCTCATGAGAAGAGAAGACTCCTTGGAAAAGACCCTGATGTTAGGAAAGTGTGAACGCAGGAGGAGAAGGGAAGGACGAGATGATTGGATAGTGTCACCGAAACTACCAACATGAATTTGACCCAACTCTGGGAGGCAGTGGAAGACAGGAGGGTCTGGCGTGCTCTGGTCCATGGGGTCACGAAGAATCGAACATGACTAAACAACAAGAAGACTGTTTGTAGAACTGGAGAACACAGTAACTTCCATGCCTTCCATGGGTATATGTTGTATAATGCTTAAATAAAAGACAGTTTGAGACCAGAGCACTAGGATCCCTGAAATTTGGGGGTAAGATGCTACCCTCATCTTGGTACGTTAGCTGTCTATAGGCACGGGTGAAGGATGCTGTAGGTCAGGGGTCCCTAATACTCGGTCTGCAACTCGGCAGCGGTCTGTGGCCTTGGAGGACCAGGCTGCAGACACAGATTTCCTGCCCCCCTTCCAGCGCACCACCCCCACGTTGTGAGTGTGCCACACCCCCTGCAAGCGTGCCATGTGCATGCACGCAAGGGCACCACAACCCCCATGAGTGTGCCACGCCCCTGCGCAAGAATGCCATGCCCCTGCGTGAGCGTGCCACACACACACACAACTGGTGCACAGTTGGGAAAAGGATGGGGACCACTGCTGTAGGTGGTTTTTCCAATGCAAATTCTACGCTGAGAGTTTAGACTGATTGGCCTGTAATTACACAACCCCCATGAGTGTGCCACGCCCCTGTGCAAGAATGCCATGCCCCCTGCGTGAGTGTGCCACACACGCACACAACCAGTCCACAGTTGGGAAAAGGTTGGGGACCACTGCTGTAGGTGGTTTTTCCAATGTAAATTCTACACTGAGAGTTTAGACTGGTTGGCCTGTAAGATCTTTTCCGTTCCACAAGCGAGGAGCCACTGCCGAGAAACGGCTCTAGATCATTTCTAGAATTATTACAGGTTCCACACTGGCATCTCTAATAAAACACCTCTTCCTTACTGCCTTCTGTAATCAAGAGGAAGAAAGGATATTTATTCCTTTCCCTTGACCCTAACGTACTACAGACATCACAAATGGACAACTCAAGAGTGGTTTGACACTGGAGTGGGAAACAGAAACAGGGAAACAAACCAGCTAACCAGCACACACAAAAGCTGGCCGCTGGTCTTGGCTTGGATGACCTAGATAAAAAGCCTGCTTGAAACACAACTGAGGCTGTTATTGGAGCCCCTGCATTAAAAAGAAATGAGGTGTAACCAGGTAAGTGTAAAGGAAGCAGAGACGACAGAGGTAGGAAAGCTAGCTCCAATTTTTCTTCTCTGCACTGCTCGGCTATCTGCTGAAGGGCCAAACCCAAAACATTTTCTGCCTGAAGCCAAGCACAAAATGTTAGTCCTTCCCATTCCATGTCAAGTCAGCCACAGCTGAATCAACACCGGAAACAGTATAGCACCCTCCACTTTCCTGGAGTAAAAGACTGACTTAAGGCTATAAGTGAGGCCACTCTCACAACTGCTGCTTAAGGAAGCTGTCTCCATTTGCCTAATGGCATGGCCAGCCCTGGACTGATGCAAGATCAGGACCAGTGGCCCAGGAAAGCCTGTGTGTACCACAGTCACAGGAATGCATGTGGAAGACATACGTGAATAAGCTCTCCACCTTCTAATAATAACTTCTGCAATGCTTTTTCTTTTTCTCCTCTATAAACTAAGAACTTCTGGACTGAGCCCCTTGGAATTATCAATGCCGGATGTAACCTCCACCCTTAGGGATCTGATTCAGAAACCTGCATGTGCTCAGGGACATGGATGATTGCCTCCTTTCATTCACTGGAGGAGGAAGATTCCCCACCTCATCATGCAAAGCACATGGAGAAACTCTGCTAGAATGTGCAGGAAGTCATGTTGACTGCAGGTGCTCCACACAGATATGACGTGGGAGACTGTTTACTTAGTCTGCATTGCTTTGGATTAGAGTAGTAATTGCTACCACTGTGCAATTAAAACCAAACCTGACCCTATGGAGTAGTAGCCATAAGCACTGAGATGGCTGCTTAGAAAATGTTCAGTCCAACACCTCCTGTCTCAGTGAGCTTGGTGACAGATACGAGAAGATTTGAGACCACCACAAGTCAAGAATGCAACTCCCCCACTTTTGCTGGTGGGAGCTGCAGTCCAACTATACCAGGAGGGCCACAAGTTTCTCATCCCTGGTTTACATCATCATCATTGTCACTTCAGAACTGCAGAGATGGAAAGGATCCTATGGATCATCGAATTTAGTTCTTGGCAAGGAGGCACAGCGGGGAATTGAACTGTCCGCCTCTGGCTCCACAGGCAGAGACCTAAACCACTGAGCTATCCAAAACAACAACCTTTGCGATAGATCACTCATAATGTCTATCTGTTGAAGGGGGACAACTGATTGAGGATGAGCCAGATTTTAGCTTGCTTAAGCCTATCTACACATTTTTACCTGGGCTTCTTGTATCACAGTTCATTGTCTTTACAGGCACCCCACATGATTTCCTCCCTGGTGCAAGTGGCACTTCTTATTCCACAAGTCAAGAACTCAGTCTTTCCTCCACCCTTCTGCCACATCTAGTTATGCAGAAGCAAAACTAAAACGAAAAGACAAAGATAAGACACTGAACTTAAAGAGTGTTGGCTTTAGATATTGGTTCTGGTATCATCGCATGGAGAAGGGTGTGGCGGCAGGGGCAGAATCAAATGTGACTGGGTGCAGCTCAGTTTCTTCCAAACCAGGCTGGATCCTGAAAGAGAGCTGGTTCAATGGGGCATATTCCCGAATATGAAGATACAGTGGTGCCTCGCAAGATGACTATAAATCTTTCAGCGAGAAGCGCTGTCTTGCAAAAAAATTATTTTGCGAAAAGCAGTTTCCCGTAGGAATGCATTGCAATGCATTCCTATGGGAACCTCGCAAGACAAATGAATTTTAGACAAATGAATTTTTTACGTCTTGCGAGGCATCGGTCTCGGAAAAAAAAAAGTCTTGCAAAGCATGGCCATAGAAGAAGCCGTCTTGCGAAGCACCATAGTGATTGCAAAAAACAATTTGTCTTGCAGGTTTTTCATCCCACAAGGCATTCGTCTTACGAGGTACCACTGTATAGAATTGCAGCTTTAATGACCACACTAGCAATAGAGGATGTCAACAAGTTTGGAAATATTGGCCATGATCCTGTTTCTTAGTGAAAGTTACCCTAGAGTAGGCCAACTGAGTCAATGGGGACTAAGTAAGTCCTCTGCAGGTTCCATTAACTCAAATGAGTCAACTCTAAAATGTATCCTAAAGTAAATCACAGTTAGAGTAGGCCCATTTGAATCAATGGGACCTATGCAGGAAGCATCTCACCAGACCCTCAGTAATTCAATGGGCCTAATCTAATGGATTTACTATGCTTAGCAACAGGATTTTGTTTTTTTCCTGAGTTCCTTTCTTAAACTACTGGGTGATGCTGCTCTTTTAGTATAAGAAAGTGTTTTCCCAGCATTATTAAATCCTGTCTTCTCAGGATGTGCTCAAAGTAGGACAGCCTGAATTTCAATATTCTTGCCTCGAAAGACAGCTCAGGCTTGATTTAGTCTAGGACCCATTTGTTTTTCTTTTTGGCAGTCCAGGGTATCTACAAATCAACATTCAAAATAAATCATTTTCTCTTTACTTGTCCAGCTTTCACAGACAGGCTAACTTCCTTTAATTCAACCTCTGAGTGCCTCTGAGTATACACAAACAGTATCTTACCTCATCAATGAGAAACAGACCGCTTTAAGCCAGAACTTTGCTTCCGCGAATGGCTCAAAGTTACTTTTTCCTTTTAACAGACAGAGTGTGCTTTGTGCAGGGACCCACAAGGTGGGGGATGGAAGGGAGAGATACTTGACTTCCCCTACATTCCTTTTCTGTGTTTTTTATTTGCTTACTGGATTGTGTAATACCCTTCAATACCCAAATCAGAAAGGCTGCTTGCAATAAAAAAAAGCAAAAATAGAATACAGTAAAATGATGTAGGAGTACAATAATAAACACTTTTCTCATCTGCAATAGGACTTCTATCTGAGTAGACCGCTAGACTCTGCTGTTTAAAGCAACACTAGTCACACCCCTGAAAAGCTTCCCAAATTTTCTGTTTAAGGAACTAAGCTTTCTCCTCTCCTCCAAACAGCCTTATCCCTGATCCTTCATTTATGGACTTTCCTTCATATCCAAAATCGCTTCTTGTAAGGTGGTGAGGAGAAAATCTATTTTGATTTAGGATAACTCTTTCCAGAGTTTTTTTTTAAGGTTTTCATATCCAAAATCGCTTCTTGTAAGGTGACTTGGTGAGGAGAAAGTCTATTTTGATTTAGGATAACACTTTCCAGAGTTTTTTTTTAAAAGGTACAAAGTGCTCAGAAGTGGTTTACCTTAGAAAATCTGTAATTTGTTAAATGTTTTATCATCTGTTGAAACAGAAGCAACAGTGACCTTCGGGGCACCTACACAAGAAGTCGGTTTTATTTGGCACCTGCTTTTGCTGAACAACAGTCCACTTCTTCAGATGCAGGGAGTCTGGCTTTAACAGCCAGACCTTTCTACCTTGATGGGAAAAATGTGTCATTGTTAAAAGGGCTTCACAATCCTTCAGTTGTCTCTGTTTTGCATCAGCTCCCTCTTTCTTTCACTGCTTGCGGGAAGGATAATCTGTGAGCGCCTGTTGCAAGTGTCAAAGCGAATTAAGGACGTCCCAGATCCTTGTAAACATGGAGAGTCCAGAGCACAGAAGAAGGACCAGAAGAAGGAAGTGAAAGAAATAAGTAAACAGGAGGGAAGGAAGAGTCAGAGAGTTGGAAAGGATGGAGAAGATGTTTCTTTTGCCAGAACAGGAAATGATATTAGCAAGAAACCACAGATCCCCACACGGGGAGGTAGGGCAGGCGAAGGAACTCCCCCTCCCACAAAAACACCTAGAAAGGTATCGGTCTCGAGACGCCTCTCCCTTACCTGTCCCAGAGCAGGCTCCGCAGGTGCTTCAAAGCCTGGGGGAGAGAAAGGAAGGGGCGAAAACGAAAGTAAAAACATCTCGACGACAAAAAGGGTTGTGCAGCTACTTCCTCATTGTGGGGATGCTTTTGAGAGCACGGTGCAGATTGGGCAAGAAAGGGTGGCTACAAAGGCGGGGGGGGGTGGGGGAGGGAGAGGGGTGAGTAGAGGTGAGAGCAAGAAAGGAAGCTTCAGCCTAGATGGAGGAAACGGAAGAGAGGGCAAGGAGGGGTGAGGTGAGTCGAGGTGAGAGCAAGAAAGAAAGCTTCAGCCTAGATGGAGGAAACGGAGGAATGGGCAAAGGAAGAGGCTAGTTTACGCCCCCCACCCCGGCTGGCGAGGCGGGGGCTTCTCCCTTTTGTCCTTCGCCCTCTAGACGGCTTAACAATTAAATGGACTGCGTTAATGCAATCAGTGGCAGCGGATTGCGCCCGCGGTGAGTCGAGGTGAGAGCAAGAAAGAAAGCTTCAGCCTAGATGGAGGAAACGGAGGAATGGGCAAAGGAAGAGGCTAGTTTACGCCCCCCACCCCGGCTGGCGAGGCGGGGGCTTCTCCCTTTTGTCCTTCGCCCTCTAGACGGCTTAACAATTAAATGGACTGCGTTAATGCAATCAGTGGCAGCGGATTGCGCCCGCGCCCGTTGGGTACACACGGGCGCTTCCTTTGAAATGTGGGTGTGTGGATGCATCGCCTCTGCCCCCTTTGTTTTGAGAGCTGAAATCCAATCCACGGCTGCCCCAGTGGTAGCCTTAAAACAGAATTCTGCCTCATTTAAAGACCGAAAATTCATCTTGCCAAGAAGTTTACATCTGAGAATAATCGCCTAGCAAATCCCATCTTCCCACAAATATTTGGACTATTTGCTTGGAAGAAGTGGGATTTACCTACAAAAGCTCGGCTCACATAGTGTATGATTTTTAATTTAAAAAATAATAATGGCCTATTGTCTATTCTTGCATTTGTACAGCAGCTTCCTAGAGGTGTCTTAGTTCTTTTGTGATTTTAGCCTGCCTTTCTCTCTTGCAGGAGCCAAGGCGGTTTTTAAAAACAGACATTTAAAAACAGACAAAGGTTTTATTTTTCAACACAGTACCTTTTAATGCTGTTACAATAGTGCAACAAACCCCACATGAATGCAATTATTAATGAACAGTCTAATGAGTTTGGAGCGTAATACGCTCACACCATCTAAACTATTGCAACTGAGTGTATATAATACATAAATAGTGTATGATTTTTAATTTAAAAAATAATAATGGCCTATTGTCTATTCTTGCATTTGTACAGCAGCTTCCTAGAGGTGTCTTAGTTCTTTTGTGATTTTAGCCTGCCTTTCTCTCTTGCAGGAGCCAAGGCGGTTTTTAAAAACAGACATTTAAAAACGGACAAAGGTTTTATTTTTCAACGCAGTACCTTTTAATGCCATTACAATAGCGCAACAAACCCCACATGAACGCAATTATTAATGAACAGTTTAATGAGTTTGGAGCGTAATATGCTCACGCCGTCTAAACTATTGCAACTGAATGTATATAATACATAATATATTTAGGATGGGGGGCAAGCACCTCCTTTTCCTGCATTAATACACACACAGGTAAAATGGATATGTGTGTTAATATATGCATGCATGCACACACAGAGAAAGATGACACAAAACGCACATTGCCCTGGACGGGTTATTGATCACAATAGCAAGTTTCTTTCCCTTTCCAAAAATGGAACAAAAATAGAATAAAAACTGCCAGTTATGGGATTAATCGGTTTTCAATGCATTTTAGGTCAATGGAGATTCGACCTACAGACTTTTCGACTTGCAGCCACCGTTCCAATATGGATTAATTCCGTAAGTAGAGGGTCCACTGTAATGTTGAAATTCTGGTCCCAACTTTTTTTTCCCAACACCTTCTCTTCTGCTCCCTTTCAAGGAGGAACGTGGGGTAAATGTGTTTTAAATAAATCACACTTTAATGTTTCTAAGTGAACAGGGGTGCATTTGCTTTTTAAAAATGCATCTATTTGCTTTAATATCACTTTGCATAACTAGAAGCTTTTCCCAAAGTGGATTGCAGTCACCTTTCTTTCACTTTTACTGTGGGCTATCCACCTTAAATCAGGCTTGCCCTATAAAAACCCTGATCAGTTCTTGCCAGCCAAGTCAATTAAATGTTTAATTTGAGAAGAAACTAGGTCTTTGTAAGAAACGAGTAGCAAAACAAATTAACAACAGTCTTCAGAGAGGCCGGGAAATTCCCAGTAATGGCTAAGTTTTCTTTTCTTTTTTTCACATTCAGGATTTCAGTATAGTAAACTAAATCATGTGAGTAATTGATGGCTTAATGCTCCATTTCACCAAGGGAGTGGCACTGGAATTTTGACATGGGAATCGCTTCTTTCTTACCCCTGCAATCTGAAAACCACAACCACCCCTGTAAGCTGAGTGGACAAAGAACAAGCCTGCTCTGCCAAATGGGGAAAGAAATGTGTTGATGTTGTTGTTACATGCTGTTTAGTTATCTCTGACGTATGGCAACCCTACCATTCAAACTTGTCAAAAAAAAGTCCTGTCAGTTGTTTTGTGTTTGGGTGAGAAATGGTTAACTGATGAAAAAAAAAAGGAGTCAGTTTCTGAGATTTTCCCTTCTGTAGTGTCATATTGTGAATGGTAGTGATCAGAAGAGAGTATCCTGTCCAGTGGTCCCCAACCTTTTCTGAGTCATGGACCAGTTGGGGGGTGGGGTCTGTGCACGGGGGGGTGAGACACCCACATGCATGCATGAAGGGATGGAGCTCACTTGCAGAGTGGCGGAGCTCACGCGCATGCACGAAGGGTGCAGAGCATGCTCACAAAGGGGTGGAGCATGCTTGTGCACATGGACAAAGAGGCGAGGTGCGCTTGCAGAGGTGAGGAGTGTGCTTGCGGGTGGGAGGGGCACCTGTGCATGCAGGTGGCGGGCTGTGCGTGTGGGTCAGTGGGTGGGTGGAGCGCGTGCAGGGGACAGAGGAGATCTGTCACTATGGCCCGGTCTTGCCATGGCCACAGACCTCACCGGGCTGCAGACTGGGGGTTGTGGACCTCTGCTATAGACCATCTTGACTTCTGCCAGGTGTTGTCAACATTCAGAATGCCCTTTGCTATGTCAAGCCTGGCATCTTTTTTCCTGGTGGCAACATGGCACAGTATTGTGCAGCAATATTAGGCAATTTCCTGGTGTTTTGAATGGTGGATATAGAAGTACAACATCCCACATTTATATACTACACTGGTTCTTAACCTTGGGTTACTCAGGAGTTTTGGACTGCAACTCCCAGAAGCCTTCACCACCAACTGTGCTGGCTGGGGTTTCTGGGAGTTGCAGTTCAAAAACATCCGAGTAACAAAGGTTAAGAACCTAGGTACTAGAAGGTTTTTTGTTTTGAATAACTGAATCTTTTTAAATTCCTTCATTGCTACCCTTCCAAGTCTCAGTCTTCCGATTTCTTGGCTACAGTCTCTATTTGGGCTGATGATTGAACCAAGGTATACTAAATCTTTAATCTTCATTGTCAAAGTCATACTTGTGTAGTTCTTCTGTATTCATGATTCCTTTTTTTCCCTTAATGTCCTGCTTTTTCACTTTCACTTTTTACTTACATCAGAAGTCATTTCAAGCCATTGTTCCTTTGTGAGAATAAAATGGTGCCTTCTGCCAGTAGGATAATATCATCCATGTATCTTAAATAATAGATGTTTCTTCCACCAGTTTTCATTCCTCCTTCATATGAATCTAGTCTAACTTTCTGTATGATATATTCTGTGTACTGATTGAACAGATAGGGAGACAAAAAGCACCCTTGTTTGGCTTTTTTGTTTAAAGGAAATTATTTTTTATACTGTATAAACTGTCCTAACAATAGCTTCTTGTACACAATACAGGTTGTACATCAGGACTATCAAGTGCTGAGGCACGCCCATTTCTTTTAGATTAACAGCTTCTCGTGATCCACACAGTCAAAGATTTTGCTGTAGTTTATAAATTATAGACTCATCTTGTTCTGAAATTCGTTGGTATGTTTCATTATCTGCAATATGATCTCAAGTGCCTCTTCCTCTTTGGAATCCAGCTTGAGGTATTTCTCACTTCATAAAAGTTAAAGGCTTTTTCTGCAACAACTGGAGCACCACTTTGTTTGCATGAGGAGTTGGAATGAACTTATAGTGAACCTAATAGGCTTTTTAGGTAACAGAGATATGTAAGGAGTGGCTTAATCATTGCCACTCCACAGAACATTACCATGGCCATGGGCGGTGGTGGTTTCAGATCCAAGTCTCCTGAGTTCTACTCTGTCACACTGTCTGCCATGCAATGCTGGATATCTAATAAAGAAACTGGAGCCCAGAAAATATGTTTCTCAGTTTGGTGGACCTGTAGCAGTCATGGCTTTTATGTAACTCCCCCCCCCAACAAAAATAACCTGTAAATGAACATCTGGGTACTTCCTGTTTTGATATTTCTGGTTATTTATTTAATTTAGTTTTCAGGGTTGATGCAACCTAAAGTGGGTTCTGATTATGGAAATGTTGTCATTGGATCCCCGAAACATGTTATTCAAAAGGCCGGGCTGGTGCCTCATGTAAATGAACATCTGGGTACTTCACATACATACATACATACATATTTATTTAATTTAGTTTTCAGGGGTGATGCAACCTAAAGTGGGTTCTGATTATGGAAATGTTGTCATTGGATCCCCGAAACATGTTATTCAAAAGGCCGGGCTGGTGCCTCAAATGGCAGCAGCTGCTGTCAACTGAGGAGAGGAAGCAGGGGCAGTATAGCTGAGGTAAATTATATACATACTCTCTGACTGCCATGCTTCGCTTTACTAGCACGCCACTGGCATGTACAATGGAAGAACATCACTGTTACTGTACCAAAGTTCAGTGCTTGAATTTTGTGCATGGGATAGAGATGGGCACCACAGGTCCTTCACCTAAAGCACTGGTTCTTAACCTTGGGTTACTCATGAGTTTTGGACTGCAATTCCCAGAAGCCTTCACCACCAACTGTGCTGGCTGGGTTTTCTGGGAGTTGCAGTTCAAAAACATCCAAGTAACAAAGGTTAAGAACCACTGACCTAA